CATAGAACCTTCCTCATCTGGAATACAATGTCCTCAATAATAAAATCTAAAATGGCATTAACTTTTAGATTATCTGCAGTAGACTAGGAGCTCCTTAAGGCAGGGATTGTCCTTTGTTCATCTCTGTATTCCTGGCATTTAGTAAATGATTTCTGGTTAAATAAACCTATCTCAGCAGTGAGTCGCATGGAGGATGCAGCTAACAAGAGCCCCAGGGCCTTTCTCCACTTGTCCTGTGGCTTAATCCTTACTTAGACCATTGGATTTGGGACCATAAGGCAGGATGCAACATTTACCCCTATTAAATCCCATCTGTCTGGAAACAACGCCTTCAGGTCTTTTGGCCAGCTTAGAATAGCAGTCCAAATCATCCTGGTGACCCCAGGTCAGGATGCCAGATGAGTACCTCATTCCTGCAAATGAGTATGCAAACTTCACAAGCTGGGACACCATACCAGCTGGCTGGCTCGTGTGCATCTGAGCTGAACAATCAGTGTCGGCTCGGCAAACTCTGAGCGCAGATGCCCCTGCAGCCATGCTAAAAGTGAAGGTACTGAGTGGGAAACCCCAGTCCTATGTACCAGCCACCACATCAAAGGGCCAAGGGGGTTCCCAAAGGCCCTTGGGTGCCTGACACCTTGAGCTTACTTGGAGGATCAGGGAAGTCACTGGGGACTCAGAATCAAAGAAGGTCATGGGACTCTTGTGGTATCCCATGCAGGAATCAATCCCGATTATGCAGGTGAGAAGTCTACGGGAGACAGGTGAAGGTGGCAGGATATAGAACAAAGTCCAACTCCTGTTTCCTAGAGCTCTCTGCCACTCTCGGGACCCTGGCCTAAGTGGAGCTTCTTTTGGGCCTTATCTCCCTTCATCAATTTCTTCTCTTCCTTCACAGTCAGAACCTCATCCCACTCTTGGAGTCCAGCATGTAGTCATGTCATTGAACGTAACAAAACAGTAGCATCTACATTTATTGAACCCCCACAATGTGACACTAGTTTCAGATACTGTTTGATGTCATCCACCTTGTAGGAATGTGCTATGGTTATTCCTCTCTTTAGCACAAAGAAGCCGAGTCTCAGATCAGAGACAGTATGTGACTTGTCCAAGGCCACAGTCCTAGCAAATGTCAGACTTGGATTCAAACCTAGGTCTTTCCAAACCTAAAAGCTATAGATTCACCACAAGGAACAGTGCAGAACAGTCAGCATGGTGCATACCAAACATAAGCAGCCATGTGCAGAGAGTAATTCACAGTAGCCTCTGCCCTGGCAGAAGGCAGACATGGGCATCCAGTCCATCTGCCCACTCCTCCCCAGGGACCGGTACTGACCAGGATCACAAATTCAGAGGAAAAATCTAGAACTCTAGAAATAGCTCCCACTGCCTGGTATTGCCTCACCATTGAGAATAGATGTTTATGAACATTCTGAAAAAAATCTCTGAAATTTCTGAGAGTAGCTTTCCTATCTGAAAGCCACCACAGCCTGTCATCCCACCAGCTGGTCTTCAGAAAGGTGTTCAGAGAGGCTGATCTTTCTCAGTAATTCATTCAGAAAATATTAGCCAGAGGCCTAAACTATTGGCACCTTCATCATTTCAAAACACTATCCAGTCTGGGCCAATGCAAACAGTCAGATTTGGAGAGTTTCTATGTTAATACTGGCACTAGAAGTGCACAGAGACCCAGGGCTGTTAAAGAACAGGGAATTGGAATGGAATGAATCTTGAGAGTTATCTAAGTTCCAATTACTTTATACCAGCAATTTTGAGGCTCAGAAAGGGGCTGTGTGATGACTGAGGTCACAGAGTGCATGGCAGAGATGAGATTTGAACTTGGGTCTTTGGGCTGCTTTGAAATACCCATCCTCCTGCCTTCTTGCCCACCTGGGGTTGAGTTCAGAATACCAGATGAGAATTGACACAGAAGGAACAGCCAGGAGGTCTCAGCAAAGATCAAGCCCAAAGGGAGCCAGCTGCTCATCCCTTGGAGGGGTGAGTTGTAAGATGCTGCCATTTATTCTGAGAGAGGGGTGGCTGCATGAGTTCCCATGCAAACTGTGAACAAACTAACCGGAAATGGAACTCACTGGTATGACATCCCCAACCCTGAAGGACTTCTTGGTCCAGTCCTAACTTGTCTTTTCACCCCTATCCCTCCTGGCTTGCCCCTCAGTCAGCCTTGCTCCTTTCCTGAGATGATTGCACTCCCACACCTGCCCCAGGTGCATACTAGAATACTGTTGTCCATACCCTCCCTGTCCACTGTCACTGAGCTCCAAGACAGTCCACTGCCCCTGACTCTTTCCTAAGCAGCCCCTGTCACTTTTCCCATGCACTTCATACATCATCCTAATGATGTCGATAAATGACAGCAGCCACCTCTATTAAGCCATATTCCATGTCAGGTGCTCTACTTTTAGTGCATGTAGTCTTTCACCACCCTCTAAGATGAACACCATTATTCACACTTCATTTGAAGATGAGGGAACTGAGGCTTAGAGAGTTGCCCAAAAGCACATAGCAGAAGATGGAATCCAGGACTTCACAGCCAAGACTTCTCCTGAAGTCTAGGCTACCAGCCCCCATGCTTGGCACCTGTTGCTTTGCTTTTTCAGTTACTACTGTGTTTCTCTCATGGTTTGGGATATGGCAGTAGGTCTCTGACAGCTTGGACCATTTCATTGCTTTATTTATTCAATGCAAGTTTTGGGGGCACCTTTCTACCCTATTCCTAGATCTAGGCCGTATCTTTGTCATTAGAAATTCAGAGGTTGAAAAGGTATAGCCTCTGCCCTCAATGTACTCCAGGCAGTTTGGGAGACAGACTCATAAAAGACAAATAACTGAACAACTCAGAATGGGCCACTACTAGGTAAGCACCTAGGAGAGCGAACTTCCAGTCCACTTCACCTAAAAATTGGAGCCTGTGACAAATTTGCTCTATTTGACCCCACCCAGCAGGTGTTCTGTCTGCATTAGCAGCAATGACCCAGTGAAGGCAGTGTCAATGAAAGCCTGAGAACATCAATCTAGTTCACGTGTCAAATTGGCCATCTGGGACACTTATAGTTTCAACAAACATACAGAACAATGGAAAGGACTGATCATAGCATGACAATGAGAATCTTTGGTGATGCAACTCCCGGCAAGCAAAAGTGGCAGTTCATACATCTAGGTGACCCTACAGAGCTGAGCACTGTGCCTCACACTGAGCAGACCCACATAGACATTGCTGATTAATGAAAGAGCCTCCACTGTCTAGGGACAAGCAGTCTCGGATGGTCACTGAGGACATGCTGAATGACATGTCCTAAGGTCCCCCAATCTGTCTTTCATTCATCATCTCCCTGACTGCTAAAAATATAAAGAATCTGCGCATGTCCCTCCTCTAGTTCCAAGGGCCAGAATGTTCAAACTTCTCCAGAATCCCCTTAGAAGAGCTGCAGCTGCCAGATATGGAAAAGATTCATCTCTGGATTCTACCTGCCTTTCTACCCTTCCCCTCTCTGCCCACCACCATTATAGGGCCAGACACAGAGCTGAGGCCGCAAAGTAGCAAGGGCTCCAGTGAGCAGGCCTCAGACCCCAGCCTCTCCTGAAGCTCAGGACTACCGTCCCAGCTACCTTGTCTGGGAGCATCTGGTAGTGACAGACTTGTCTCAGAACAGATCATGGACACAAACCCTCATGGGTCAGTTCAAACCTTGGTTAGTTTTCTCAGAGAGAAAGCTAAATGCTCCTTTGCCAGCATCCTCTGTATATGGAAGAACTCAGAGCCACCTGTTCACCTCATCTTTGCAAATACCAAGCATTGCCCACCCCAAAGCAAGTGTTCAGAGAATACACGGCAACAAAGAGCTGTGAGTCCTAGACCTTGTGGGGCAAAGCCATGAACTTTTTTTTTCCTTCCACACCAAACCCTCACCCTCCCTCCTACTGACCTTCCTCCAGTCCCGAGCCAGAGCCACTGCTGGGCAGGGTGGCCCAGTGGGTAAAGAGCTTTCCTGAGCTGAGCCAATGTCTTCCTCTTAAGGTAATGACTTTTTAATGTTCCTGGCTCTCTGCAGGGCACCCCTAAACTTATCTCAGCAAAAGTATTGGAAGTGGGACAGTTGGCACCCCAGGAACGAAGACCATCAGGAAGAAGCTAAGTCCTTAGGGTGCAGCATCCTGACTCTTGAGCAGCTTCCCCAGGGCTCTATCTTGTCCTTCCCATTGGGCTCTAGGTGAACTTGATACTCTCGTCCAGGGCAGGTGGGTAATGTGGCTCCCCAGCAGGGAAGAAAGCTTGGCATCTCCACTGTCTTCTGCAGGCTACTCTACCACTCCACCCTGCCATCTGGCCAGGACCTGTGGATCTGGAAGCTTCAGTACAATCATCCAGGCCTCCTGACACAGGCCCTGGCCAGCTCTTGGCACCTAGTGCCCCCATCCCATAAAGGCTGCATGCACTAAGCCCTGAAGCAAACAACTTGCAACTTGACCATGGTGTTCTCTCTGACACTGGCTTTTCTTACTGTGTCTCTGTTCCAGAGTTTTTGTCCTCAGCAGGTCAGGCTCTCTCTAGGTGCCCTCTGGGACACCAAGTCTTCTATTCCTTCTTTCCTGGCTCAGGGTCGCTGACCCACTACTTAGAGAGCTGGATTTAGGGTCACCTTACGTCTGTCATCACATCCCAAACACATTTGGGGCCCCTTCAAGAGCTCTCAGATCTCTACCTCCCTTCCTGCAGACCAGTTCCTCACCCAAATAGGTACTCCAAATTCAGGCTTTCCACCCACGCCCCTATCACTGTCCAAGGTCCTGCCTTGATTTCCCTCTTCTACAGGTGACTACAATCTTTCTTTCTCCGTGAGCCCTGCCTGGTCCCTTCCTGCCCATGTGGCTCCTAGTTGTCCTCTCATGTGTATCTCTGCACCCCCACCCCCACCCCACCACCGCTGTGGAACAGGTAACCTCCCAAGTCCAAAGCCTCAGCCCCACCAGGCGCTCACCGCCACCGTTCTTGTAGCAGAGGTAAGGGAAGCGCCACACGTTGGCTAGGTCCACAGCGAAACCGACCACAGACAGCAGGAAGTCGATCTTCTTGCCCCAGGTTTCCCGGGGTTGGGCGGCTCGGCCCTGGGACGCCAGGAGACACTGGACGCCGTTGCGCTGCTTCACCACCAGCAGGTCTGCAGTTTTGCACGCCCGCAGGGGCTGCTCTGGCTCCAGGTCCGCCCCGCTGAGCTCAGGCTGCACCTGCGGGTTCATTCGCGCCAGAAGCATGGGTGCGGTTGACGAGAGGGACTTCAGAGGTTCTGGGGACAAGCCGAAGCTCTGCTTGTGTAAAAGGAAAAGAGATGGTCACCAGGGTTTCCTTCCTCCTTTTACCAATTGAGACCACCCGGCGCACCGGGGACATTAGGATCAGCGCGCGCTGAGAAGACTCAGCGTTTCCAGAAAAGGGAGCGCGTCTGTTGGAAAAATTTGGAAACCGAGGTTGTGACGCGCTCACTGGGACAGAACTTAGAGGTGGAGACCTCCTCTGACAGCCCTGTGGGTCTGGCTGAAGACCCCGCCGCGCTCTCCCTCTTCCGCCCGCTCTTCCCCGCCCCTAAACCGCTGGGTTTGGACACACAGAGGCAGAAGTTTCCCCTGGGCGGTGACAGGGCCGGGTGCAGTTTGCTGCCCCCTCCCCAGCTCAGGGGGGTCTGCGCCATCTCCAACAGTCCCAGGATTCTTCCTGGACACTTAAATGCCTGGTACTCTAGCTCCTGAGGCTCAGCGTGGACCTCCAGGCGCATTTGCCGGGTCCAGCGCGCAGGGCGTACTCACGTGTGGGCAGCCAGGAGATCCCAGGTGCCGTGCGCTCTGCCAGTTCTGAAGAGCGGGCCGGGCCTCTCCGCCGCGTGGCACTTGGGTGCGGCCAGAGGAGCGCTGGAGGTGCGGGGCGGCCTGCGAGACGCGGGCTGGCTGATTCTGGTTGCGCCGGGCGGGGGCCAGGCTGGTAATGTAGCTGCGCCCCAGGTAACGCGCCGATTGCATTAACCCAGCGCCCAGTCTGCTCGGTCTGGAGCCTGTTAGCGCTAATGGAGACTGACAGCGCGGCCGAGGATGGACAGGGGCGGGGGCGAGGCGCGGGCTCCGAGCCGCTGGAGCCAGGTACTCGGGGGGATCCGGGTTCACACTCTCACTTAGGCTGAAGTAGCGCTCGCAGCTCCCAAGGACACCAGACTCTAACTTCTCACCAAGGGAAGAAAGAGACAGACTCCCAGAACTGGGATCTGAGTCCATTGGAGAGGGCCTGGGAAAGGACTAGGAGAGCAGCGACCCACGCAGTACCAGAGCTGTCATCCACTGAAGGTCACTGAAACCACCTGATCCAGAGTTTCTCCATCAACAAAATGGGAACGTGCCCAAGACTGCAAACTGGTGACCTGCGGGCCATTGAGCAGTTTCCTTTGGCTGGGTAGCTCGCTGAAAGGTTACAGCCCAGCATTTTATGTACATCTCTGTCTATCACTAGCAGACTGGCAGGGCATTTGAGATTGTGACTTCTGTTTTAAGGGGCAGAAAACTGGTTTTTATTTCCTTGTGCATTCATTCTTTAATAAATTCGTTCTTACAATGGTCTCCTATGTGCCAGGGAGGCATCAGTGTTATTAGGAGGCAACACATTCAAAGATTCCTGAGTAGTTTACATCCGGTCAGGGAAGACAGGGGAAAACAGGAAACATAAGGAATAAACACATTATATGGTGGGTGAGAAGGTGGTGTGTACTATGGGGGGGTGTAGTAAAATTGGTAAGGAAATGGGGGTGGAGTTGCAATTTGAATAAAGGGTCAGAGAATTTGAGGTGACATTAAAAAGGATGAGCCCGGCTTAGACCTGGTAGTCATTGGTTCACTTAGGCATTGATTAGTTTATTCCTGCATCAGATAGAAGCTGATCCCACTGCATGCCTCAACAGAGCTAGGGGAGCCCTAGGAAGGACCATGGTGACAGGCCTGTGAGGAGAGGACACACAGAGTCAGCTTTGCATGTGTTAAGTCAGGACATTGTGGGGACTGAGGTCTTACAGGCTGGAAGTGACAGTGTTGAAGTGAGAACATAGGTGTCCTGGCTTCCAGCCTCTGCCCCTTCACAAGTTCTGGATGGAGTCTCAAAACCTGTGTTGTGGCCATGTTCCCCTTCCCCTTTACCCCACAACCTGTACAACTGGTTGTCAAGCCGTGAGATCCCACCTCGTAAACACACCTTGAAACCCTACCTTTCCCACTGTAGACTCCAGAGGATCCCTAGACACATATCATCACCAGCTGTCACCAGCTGCCAGAACTCTTTCTAAAACTCAAGTCTGACACCATCAGTCCTCTGACTAAAACTCCAGAGACACACCAACACATCAATATGGTTTACGTTACCCTAGATTTAGGGTAATTATATCTTCTTCTTTATGCTTTGTATCTGCCAGCTCTTTTACAATGACCATTGGATATTTATGCAATCAGAAAAAGATATACCACGATTTAAAAAAAAATCCTCCTGTCTTTCCAAGACAATATCAAAACACTGTCAGCAGAGCAGACAAGATTCTGCCTGTCTACTTAACGAGATCTGCTATTTTAATTCTGTGCTCATCTTCCCTATTCCCTTTACCACCTCCAAAATATGTTTTATTCTCTAGCGACATGGGAGGTACTCAACAAGGTTCCCTGAACCTAATACTGACACTTTTGTACTCCACTGAATTTTAAATATGCCGCCTTTTTGTCTGCTTGAAGAACTCCTATTCGTCTTCCAAAACCTCTAATATCATTTCCCCAATGAAGCCTTCCCTGATAACCACCTCATACAATAGAGGCAAATCTTCTTTTATGCAGTTTTGTATAATTTTCTAGTACAGTTTTACATACATAACTTTCCTGGCCAGGCAGCTGTGTCATCATGCTTGCACTTTGGAGGCACAGAGCGTGCTTGAGTTGACAGAGAAGCAGAGTGCCTATCTAATCAGACTTGCCCGATGAAGGTAACTAGGCTCCCCCAGCAGAAAAAAGCTTTCAGCAGAACTCCAGGTACTGCAGCAGGAAATTGCCCGGTGGAGTGGGGTCTGCACTGACAGGCACAGGGGATGATGAGGAGTGGGCAGGGGCTGCAGAGCTGAAGGGAGGCATTTTCCCCATTACACGTACATCATTAGAGGGACAGTTAGCAATGAACATTCCCCTGTGGCTTTCCAGACATCTGAGGGACACAGTGAGGACATCAGGCTGGGGCTGGGCTGAAGGAGAAGGCGTCTTCTCCATTTCCGGCCCAGACTCTCTGCTCACAACTCCAAGATCCATGGGCCATGTGGCTTCTCTCGGTGCCCTGCATCCTTCCTCTCCAGGTGGCCTGAGGGCAGTGGTAGGCAGGAGGCTGCAGCATTATCAGAACTTGCATGGTCTCTGGGGAGGCGTCGCTTCCACTTACCAAGGCACTTGGTGATATAGGCCATGGGATGCAAAGAGATAGCTGGTGCTGTTAGTCCAGCTCCAGCCATCTCCCTGAAGACATCAAGACACACAGAGTCTGGACCAGGATGCACTTTGAATCAAAGGGGCTGGGTCCTGAGGACACTATCAGAACCATCACCTCCATGGCCCAAGTAAAACTAAGGAAAGCGGGGAGAGAAGCCTACCTATTTTCTTTCTCTTTCTTTCTTTCTTTCATTCTCTTTTTTCCTTCTTTCCTTCCTTCCTCTGTCTGTCTTCCTCCCTCTCTCCCTCACTCTCTTTCTCCTTCCCTGCCTCCTTTCCTTCCTTCCTTCCTTCCTCTCAATACAAGACCCCCACAAGCTGAAATCTGTCTCCCTCAGGGCACGTCTCATTTATACCCCTTCCCCAGGAGGTTTTTTTTTTGTAATACTAGGGTTTGAAACTCAGGGCCTTCACTTTGAGCCACTCCACCAGTCCTATTTTTGTGAAGGTTTTTTCGAGATAGGGTCTCATGAACTATTTGCCCAGGCTGGCTTTGAACCGTGATCCTCCTATCTGCCTCCTGAGTAGCTAGAATTACAGATGTGAGCCACCAGTGCTTGGCTCCCAGGAGTTCTTGAAGTTTCTGACCTATAAACATGTGACTTGGAGTTTTCTCTATTAAGTTCCACACCCAAATGAACCTATCTGGGCACTGGCCTTAAAGAGTTTCTATCCATTGTTGATTTTCACATTTGCATCCTCTCACTAGACTGCCCCTCTGAATTCCATGCACCTATATCCAGCTACAGGTTGGACATCTCTTGCTTTATCATAAGATTTCCTATCTGTTGAGCAAGATTCCCCAGTTCTTTTTTCCTTGGGGATGTCTTGGCAATACTCCCTAAAAAAATTCAGAATTACAAAGTTCCATGAAAATTCACATTGGAATGTCAGTTGTGTTTGCATTGAATCTGCAGCTCAATTTGAGCAGAATTGATGTCTTTACAGTAGTCTGTCTTCTCATCCAGGAACAAGTACATCTTTCCATATATTTGTCTTATTTGATGTATAGAACATTATAAATACAATTTGGGGATTAGTAGACTCCCTCATAAAATCCATCTAAGAATCCCTTTAAATTGCCACCCATGAGGGTCCATACTCTCTCTTCTTTCAGGAAGCACTTCCCAAATGGCTTCACCAGTTATGTATTTGGACCACTTGATTCATACAACTACTTTCCTGCCTCTTTCCTACCTGTGTCACTAACTCTCTGAATGTCTTTTCCTGGTGAACTTACAAATAAGCTTTTTCTGAAGCCTTGAAAGCCAGAATGGTACAGAGACTAAAAACTTGGACTTGGGCACTACCCTGCCTGAATTTTAATCCCGGCTCCACCACTATCTGTGAACACTTGGGCAAGTTCCCCTATTTCTTTGTGCCTCTGTTTCCTCATTTGCAAAATGGATAAAATGATATGACGATAATGACAGTACTCACCTCATAGAATTGCTGAGAGGATTGAATGAGTTATTGTGTTGTTATCAAAAGTTTTAATTATTCCATCTATTGGACCCTGTCCAGGATTTTAAGTTAGATTTATCTAACTTCAAATTTCAAGCCCAGGATGAAATATCAAGTGTGGATTGATATGACAATTATGAGTGTGGCCTTTGGAGTTAAAAATAAAAAGATGGGTCAGAGCCTAGCATCTCTACTTGCCTGCTGGGTGACCTTTGGCTCTGAGCCTCAGTTTCCCCAAAAGTAAAATAGAGATCACAACACTAATTAAGATAATCTGAGGGTCACATATATAAATGCTTGGGGACATGCCAGCAGCAATCTTGTCTCCAAGGGTTACAGCTTTTTCCTAGAGGTATTTTGTCTGTTTGCCACTTTAGCTCACTTAGTGTAGTAATTATTAAAAGTACAGAATCATGGGCCTCATTCAAGAAACTTGGATTCAGTGAGCCAGCAGTTAAGGCCAGGAATCTGCATGTTTGTAGTACATTTATTCCTGTTAAAAATAATTTCAGTATCAGTGACAAACATTTCATTAACCACTGTCTCAGTGGCCTTTGCAATTTTCACACCTGGAATTCCATCTCTCAATATCCCTGGTTTGTTCTCTTTTTGGTCTGCCCACACTGAGAGGAAAACCCAAAGGCATTTCCTGGCTGAGCTGTCTTTTCCCAGGAAGGTTTGTCCCCTTTGGGACAAGGAAGGGAGAAAAACCACTTATGTTCTCTGTCTAAGGAGCATTCTGGAGGAACCAGTAACATCCATAAAAGCCCCAGTGCAGGTGCATGGGATGATCATGGGATTAGAGGTGAGAGCTGCACCCTTCTCAAGGTGATGGACATAAGGTCTCAGCACAATGAAGCCAAAGTCGGGGACTGCTG